ACACCGCGGTACAACCATCGCTGAGAGTTGCAAATAACCGACTGGGTTCTCACCGTGGCTACGGCGTGTGGCAGTGTAGGCTACGCGGCAGATCTGATTATAACGAACTGATATTGTGAACATCATAAAATAATTGGGCGCTTTACATGAACACTGTATACAATTGGGAAAAACTAGGTGTCAAGTGCTGGATACAGGCCATAACTTTCCATACAATTCTACTATTGGCGACCTGCCCCAACCAAAAGAGTCAACATGGTAGGTATTCGCGATTGTACTCCGTTTAAGCTGACACCGCAACCAATGCCACGGCCAAGAAAGGTCGAGGCTAGTTTGAAGCGTTTTTCCTCAGAACGGGCACTCGCGCTAGAAATGCACGTCTCAAATCCATGAGCACGGGCTGGCTCGCGCTTGTAGATTTGGCTGCCGCCTCGGCTTATGGGGGAAGAGAGTACAGCTAAACACTGTTGCCTGAGTCTTACTGGAGCAACAAACATAAGCAACCGACATTTACAAGCCTAAAACGCGCGCAACCTGCACGCCAAGATACCTTGACAAGCTTGTAGTCTGTGCTCGTAAAGCAAGCAGAAGGGATTGCAAACCGGCCAAAGATCCTTCGCGTGCAAACTGCTCGGGCTTGAGGTTTGTCGGTGTCGACGCTCCGCGAGCCCCGCCAACTTAACTGCCAACAATATCGATTGGAAGAGTGACGTAGTCACTCTTCTGAGCCTTTTTGTGGACGGGTGTTGCTGCGCGCGTTTTGATCGCTATTTTTAAATCTGGCTAAAGCAAAACGTAAAATTTAATTGATTACTATCTCAAAAACTATTCTAATTTTGCAAATAATGTGAAGGGTGTGAGCTGTAATAGTAATTACATTTCTGACATTGCAGGATGAACAGTAAACCAAAATTTAAATGGTTAATTATGAGATTTTAGTTAATTAGACAATTTATCTCGGCGCTTATTCCTCACCTGATGTCCGCCGAACTCGAGACACACCTAGCGAAGACGAAATTTAGCTAGCAGTTTTCACTTTTAATTCAAAATTATATTTACATTAAAAATATCATCGTGTATATGGTTCTCCACACAGTACGCACCTTTCCACTGTTTACAAAAATTGCAGTCCACACGCGCTAAATCACGGTCCATCCAGCGCTCGCTCGCAGTTGCGGCCAGCTAAAAAGTGCGCGTGCATAACACACAAACACAGCAGTGTATGCGCCCTTATAGGCTTTTACGGAAATGTTCATATACTGTATTACGATTGTATCCTGTCTTTTCAAGCTGACCCAGCCGTCGGCTATGATTAAAGCACGGATTTTAACGATTCCTACTTGTGTATATTCACCTTGCGCGTCCTACCAATGTGACAGTCGACGAGATTGTTATTTTGATATCTAGATCTCCGTGAATTTCTCTGCAGGCGCCTGAAGTGCATAGCGTGCGGTAGTATAGGCTGGCCGGCCGGGGCGCTCGAGTCGAGGCTGCATGGGAGCCATGCGGAGAGCCCCGGGCGCATTAAAGGGGCGATGCAACAATTTTGTACTTAGCGCAAATACCGCTTAGAACGAATCCCTGACATTAGTGACCTATGAAACACGCGTTCGTTGTTAACCCCACGCAATAGAAGTCTCAGAAAAAAAAAAAAAGAAAGAAAAACGAGCAGCGTTCACCCCCTCAACTCACAGCCAGAACAAGCGGCCACGTGATCTGGAGCCGATTATATGCCGCCAGTGTTGATCATAGCCACGCGCTGGGGTTGGCAAAACGCAGGACACGCGCTGAGTTCCAGACATTGTTATGGCTCGGCTGTTGTCGTGGTTGCAGCGATAGGACACGGTTCACTACCCGAATGCTTCTCGAGCTAGTAATTATCACGAGCCCAAATCGAGTGGCTACGTAATGCTCGGGTCCAATCTATGAACAGCATTCATATATCTTCATATGGGTGTACTGCGATTCCCACGTTACGTCATGAAATTTTGCAAAGGAGAGATCGATTGAAAATGATCGCTTTTGTCCTTGAAATTACACCGCAACGAAGGAGTTTCTTGGCCAGCGAAGTTGCGGGCGAGTATCCTTGACTCCCACTAGTGCCAGGAAGTTCGTGTATAGTGAAAAACATTCCAACTGAATATCGTTGCACAGCTCCTTTAAATATGTTAAATTGAACTGCCACCTTTCTTATTGTGAAACTGCTTCGGAAATCACGCGGTTGTCCTTGGCGAAAATTCCCGCTGCCTCAATTATGCACGTGCCGCCAGAGCAGACGTCGAAAAGCAAGGATCTGATGCTGTAGGCCAGGCGTTTGAAAGAGACCGCCTGCCCTTCTCACTTTCACAGCGGCAGTAGCAGACACCCCGTAGTGCCGACTCATCCGCACGACCATCGGAGCAGACGTCTTTGCACGCCGTATGGCTAGAACTTGGAAGGTTCCTAGCGGTTGCGAAGAGCGTGACTTTCAGTTACTGCGCACTGAGAAGGCCGGTGGTGCACGGAGTAGGGATCAGGGGCGGAATCGAGAGCGGAAGCGGGCGTGAAAATCGTCGCAACTGGGCGCGGGAGCTGTAACCAGATAGGTTGGTGGCCTAGTTGGTTGAACATTATAAAAAACAGTAGCCCGAAAGACAAAGGACAATGAAGGACAGGACAGGACAAGACAAGCCACCTGTCCTGTCCTCCCTTGTCCTTTGTCTTTCGTGCTAATATTTGTATGGTGCACAGGACGACGTGTAGAAATGACGACAGAGTAAATATCGAATTACGCAAGCGCCGAGCTGCGGTCGCGTTGACACAGGTTACGCGATAACGTAACTGCACTTGGATTTTTCTAGCTTAGCGTACTGGAGGCACGCCATGCGCCGTTTAACCCCTTTCGGCTCCCAGAAAACTTTACCATCTCATAATGACACCGACAGTGCACTACTGGCAGTCTTGGGTAGGCTACTTCCAAAATGTAATTCGTTACAGATAGTTATTTCAAGAAAAAAGGTTGCGAAGGTACTGTTACGGCTACAGCAGCGAAATATTAGCTCGTCACATTTACTTCAAAAAGTAGCAGCCTAGCGTTTTAGTTACTTATTCAATACCTAAGTGACCAAGAAAAAAAAACAGCAATATAAATTGTTTATTGCATGAAACACAAGCAAGCAAGGTAGACATGGCACTTGAAATGTCGGAACAGATCATTTGGAATGTGCAAGGAATGGCTAGATACTACTCGTTCAGTGATATATTTATCCTCAAAAATCTGTGAAACATAACGGCAAAAGTAACGTCGTTACTGTCATCGTTACTTCAGGATAAGTAACAGAAGTGCATTTAGAAGTTACATTTCGAAAACGTAACACGCTACTGTTAAGAGCTTTTAGAAAAGCAACAAAGTGACTACAAGACTGACACTGAAAAGGTCAGTGCACACACACACCGGAGCGCTATCTGAGCACTGAATTAAACACTATGGGGGGGCGGGGGGATGTTTATACAGCCTGAACTTAGTTTGCCTCAACGGGCGAATTGTCTCTCAGCTGTAGATGTGAAATTTAGCGAGTTCGGTACAACCGTTAACCTCGGGTCTTTAACGTGATATCCAATAAAAAGTTTTTAACAACAACATCAACGTTCACCATGCATTAGTGAAACACGACTGTCTTACGCGCCGTGGGCCTCTTTGGCAACTGGTAAAAATAACGTAAAAAAGGCCACAGCTTATGTACAAACAAAAGAAAAGATGATTCGACCGGCGTATAGGCGATAGGGCCACGACTGGTGTAAAGGTGAGCAGGGTAGGCGACCAGAAACTAGAGGATAAAAAAATCAAAGACGTTTACTGTTTTCTTAAGACGATAAAACTGGGGTCTCGCAAAAACACTAGGCGACGCGAGCTCGTGAACAAACAAACCAACAAAAACACAGTAGCTCAATACGTCTCAGTAGCCTCAAAGCAAAACGGCCCCAACAAAGCACTAGTGAAGATAAAAGTCTTATCTGCCGTCGACGCTGATCCAGGGGAGTGTGGATGCCTCCTCCGTGGTCTTGCTCCAGTAGGTCGGACGATTTTCTCTGGCCCACATCCTCACGCACTTGCACTGCAACACGGGCACAACGCGGTACATTAAGCAGAAACTAACTGAATACGATAGGGAACAATGACGTTGAAACGCCGGGCGCAACTTTCCGTCATCTTCGCGACCGGAGAAGGGGAGAGCAGCGTCCCAGACTCCACTCCGGATTTCGGCCCTTTTCCCCCTAGATCACCTCTATATAAAAAAAAATTGCAGCATTCTAGAGATACTTATTTGTCGAATCAGAAACCAGCTTCTTAACTCCAATCAGAACTCTCCCTTTTTTCGGTCACCAGAAAAACCACCCCAAACAAACACAACATAACGTTTTGCACTTCATCCATCAGCCACAGTGTCGCTGGGCGGTCGGGGAAATGTGGTAACACGGCACCCTCGGTTCGGCACGTACAGGAAGTGGCCTCTCCACTCACGAGCCGGGCCCCGATCGTCCTCCTTCGGCACTCCCACCTGGCGCGATCGAACACAAGCCAAACAAAATACAAACCAAATAGCCTTCGGTTCTCGGCGATGCGTACACAAGGCGGCCGGTTCTGTGTGCGACGCGTACACAAAGCGGCTCTAACGTAAACAAACTAGACTATGCAAAGTTTCCCTTTGGTACATCCGGCATGGCACGGCAGAACACATAAACTAAAAAATGTTGGAATAACAAAAGAGAGAATTAAAAAGGCAAAAAACCTTAGCGATTCATGACAACGACAGAGACAGCGCTGATGAAGCGCTCTCTTGAACATTGAAGCCTTGTGTTTAACATTATTAACAATGATGCAACCCTGTATGAGCACTGTACACCGAAGCCAGCGCGCCATCAGCGTTAAGATTAGCGATATTTACAGCGCTGACCTAGCGCTGCGCTGGATGTGCAAAACAGGCTTGTGTGCCACCTAGAGCAGTTCAACTGTTTTGCAGACATGCAGCTTCCAATACGAGCGACGAAGACAGCGTTGGCAGCGCGCTGTACCTAACGCCTCTCATTGAGTCTGGACAACTGGAGCACGCCAGGAGCCTGAGCCGTGTCGGCTCGCTCGGCCAGGTGGAAGACGTGCCCGGTTACTCCGGCTTCCTCACCGTCGACGCTAAGCTGGGCAGCAACCTCTTCTTTTGGTTCTTCCCATCAAAGGTAGAAAAAAAACTATAATCTCGCTTTCGGAGTTTTTTTGTTTTGGTTCTTATCGGCTGCTACCAAAAATATCGACTGCGACCCTTTCCAGGTTGATGCGGACAGTGCGCCCGTCCTGATCTGGCTCCAGGGTGGTCCCGGATCCACGTCGCTGTTCGGCCTTTTCACGGAGCACGGACCGTACCAAGTGGCCGAAGACGGGACGCCACACCTGCGTGATGCCACGTGGGTCAACAAGTTTTCCGTGCTCTACATGGATAATCCCGTGGGCGCGGGCTTCAGCTTCACGGAATCAGACGAAGGCTACGCTCGCAACCTGCATGACACTTCCAGGAACTTGTTCGAGGCCCTGCAACAGTTCTTCACGCTTTTCCCCGACTACGTCGACAGGGACTTCTACGTCGGCGGGGAATCGTATGGCGGTTAGCATATTCTTCTTGTTACTTCGTCAGGAATCAGACACGAAGTCTGTTTTATCATCCGAAATTTACAAGAAAGCCGTCATGAAGAACCATTACCAAGAACTGTGACATCATGAGGTCATGTGACACTATGATGTCGTGGGACAGCGTCATGTCACATCACACCGTGTCGTCAGGTAGGACCTTGACGTCGTGTAACGTCAGTGTCATATGACGTCCGTGGCACAGTGACGTCTGTCACGTGACTTCGCAGTGTCGTCTGACGTCATTATGTGATGTTAAGGTGTCGTGACATTAGAGTGTCACGTGACGTCAGTTTTGGCCTCATGACGTCACTGATATCACACAAACACATAGCATGTGCCCAGCTCATTCATAGCATGTCCTGTTCTTCCTTACCTTTGTCAGCATGATCAAGTTAGAAGAAAGAAGCACAAGGTTATTTTCTCAAAATTTTCTGCACCTTTCCACTTCCCCAAGCACCCTACCTTGCACTGGCCCTCCAACCTTTCGGGGCTCGGTGATCAAACCCTCATACTTGTTTGAGTTTAGAGTCCCTGGCCTAGAGAAACCTACAGCGGCGATTACACTGGCACAAAAGGTAATCTACATTCTGGTCTCTAGACATGTTCGGAGCATACACATGAATGAAGCAAACGTGTTTAACATGCTTGAAGCGTCTTCGAAGATAATTTCGTCATCAGGTCTAAAGAAATCATTTGTCTTTTTTTTTTTTGTATGATGCATGAGCAGTGACTGCGACTTGACGAAAATATCAACGCATCAGCCACAAAGTCAAAGTCATGTCCGCTCTGCGAGTTCTCTAGCAGCCGGACGTTTCTCGCGGTATTTAAATATTATGAGTAGTGTCATGATCAGATGTTTGTTGTATGAGCAGATATTTGGTAAGTGCAGCACAACTGCTAACCCGAGGTCTATTAACACCATCCCGCACAAGCGAGTAATCAATCACTGTGGGCCCGGCTGGTGTTCGCTAAAAGGAGGTTGCCTCTCTGGTGTTGACAAGAGCACCTCGAGATTAACTCTAAAATCCTGAATATCAATTCCTGTCTATAAGATGCATGGCCTTGATGTTAAAACAGCAACACGAAGTTCATTGGCTTTGATAGGAAGATGTTAAAGAGCATCCTCTCGGAGGCCTCTGTGGGGCAACCGACTTGCTACTTTCCCTAAAAACCTAAAAGGTTTAGCCGCAAGAGACCTATAAGGTTTAGCCCTGTAGAATTAAATTATAAGCTTTATGTATAGATTAGTTTAAACAAATACTGACGAGTTTTGCTTCGGTTTTGATCTAAAGTAAAATTTTGATAGATAATGCTGAAAGCAAATGCCAAAGATACCTGCCCGAAGGGTAACCAGTCATCAAGCAAGGCGGTCGTGATTTGGCCTTATGATGGTGGTGGGAATTATTGAAAACTCTATGCTTGATGGATTTTTTGTTGGAGAGAGAAACATGTATCAACACTTGATTCATTTCTTTGTTAGCGGGTCATCGAAGAACTTCCCTCGTGCTTTAGACCGCGAGCCCTACGACTGTTTTGAAATGATAAGTAATTTATATTTATATCTTGAAAACGTTTTTTTCGCAGGCAAATATGCTCCTGCCCTCGCCTACACCATCGACACGGCCGTCCAACCACGGGTGAAGATCAACGTCAAGGGAATCCTTATCGGAAACGGCTTCATCGATCCAATCTCCATGATGGACTTCGGCGACTACCTTTACCAGGTTGGGCTCGTGGATGAAAGCGACGCCGATGTTTTTAGGAAGCGGACGAAAATGATGGTCAGACTAATGAAAAATGGACGCTACCTTGACGCCTTCAACATATTGGACCCTCTTTTGACTGGTCTCCTTACAAACCCAACCTACTTCAAGAATGTCACCGGAATGGACTTCTACTACAACTATCTTTACTCCAAACGACCTAAAAATTACCAATATTTTGACGCTTTTGTCGAGAGTCCAAAGGCGCGCAAGGCATTACACGTCGGAAACCGTATTTTCACGGATACAAGCAAGGTAGTTCAGCATTATCTTCAGGGAACCATCATGTCATCTGCAAAGCCCTACTTGGAGGCCCTAATTGAAAAGTACAAAGTTATGCTCTATAACGGCCAGCTGGACATTATAGTTGCGTACCCACTTACGACAAATTTCATCTCCACCCTTCAGTGGTCGGGAGCGAAGGCCTTGGCCCGAGCACCGCGGCAGATCTGGATGACCCCGGATGGAGATGACGTAGCCGGTTATGTCAAGCAGGTCGGCAAGTTCACGGAGGTTTTGGTCAGGAACGCGGGGCATATTGCTCCCCATGACCAACCTGTGGTCTGTTTCGATATGTTGGTCAGATTCATCGACGGCAAGCCGTTTTCTGGATGACCTAATTGTGAGCTACTGAGTGATCCTTTGTCTGCCTGGAAAAGAAGTTCCGTGGATATCTTCGAAGTGGCAGTCTACGTTTCACTGAGATCTTTAAGCCGGGGTCGCACTGCTTATAATACATACAAAAGACAAAGCGTTAACTACAGACATGATGACAAAATGATCTGCAGACAGACCTCAATCATGTTTGATGCATACCTCTCTCAAAGATATGGATGTTTCCAACAAGTCTGCAGACGGTTTTTGTTTGACCTTTGTGACAGGAGTGTCATACAAGGAAGAAACATGCCCCAGACAGTGTTTCTAAAGACTGTGTTTTGTATGATTTGTCAGCAATGTAACCTCGGCTTAAGGATCCACGGGGGTTCCTTTTGCCGACCACGCTTCCGGGAGCTGCACATATAATGTGCCAGCTTCATGATCTGAAACAGGTGGTAGGTGAAACAGGCTTTCGAAGAAATGCGGACAGACATTGTTCCTATCGTAATCAAGAGGAGGTCCACAACCAATGCGAGCTCCTACCTAACAAGGCCGAAGGGCTGAAGTTTCGACGCCATCTGAAGGCAAACACAGGGCGCGGATTGCTCACAAGTGCTGTCTCAAAGTTTGCCTCTTTAGACGACGTCGAGAATACAGCCATCCGGCCGTGTCATCTAGGACGTGTTGGCACAACATAAAGAGAGTGATTATTTCCCTCATTGTTTTAGTCTCCAAAAAACAAAATTTGTGTTATATACCAAAACGTCTATGGAAAATAAAGCAATATTTCAGATCTCCTCGCCTCGATGTGATTGAAGTGAATTAGACAGTGATCAAAATGAACCATGATTTATGTATTAAAAAAGGGAGATCTGGAAAGGTCGATTAGATTGCGAATGTAAAAAAATGGGTTCTATAATTGAAGTTAGTAAGCAGAAAAACAAAAGGAAAAACAGATCCGGTAGCGGATCTGTTTGGAAAGAAAACATAGCCCATCAAAGCCCCGGCCTGCTTCCGGTCGAGGGCGACACGACAATACAGTCGAAGCAGACTCTGCATCGTAGAGTAAGGAAACATCGAGGACACGACGAGGCAAGTCGAGCACTTTTCCATCTTGAGCGAAATGAACTGAATGAAAGCTCACTTTAGAGCGGTGTGGTGTGTACATACATTTCCAGCTCGAATCAGTTTCGCCCCCCTCCCCCAACCCCCCACAATGTTCGTCCTTTAAATACATATTTTTGTTGCACGTGGCATATGGAAATTTCTTCGTGTAGAGGACCGACCGCACGTTGTGTCCGGTCACCATCGATTACGACAACGCAAGGCATTCGGTGTCGCGCACCGATAACAATGCAGCGATCCGATTGCTGCACCAGTTGGCGACCAAGGGCGCCGCAAGAGGGCTTGCCCTCCTTCATCCCGATCCGTTTTGTCCCAGGATGTGAACATTATGTTGGCTGATATTGCGCCAAAAGTTAATTTCACCGTTAGTGTAGCTAGCTCAGGCATTGCTACATTGCCCGATCGTTAGGTAAGCTGTTCATAATTTTAGAAACCTTGCAGATACTGCTTGGAATCAACTAGTATTTTATTGTATTGTCCTATTCAACAGACAGTACAGTTCTCGGAAGTCTTGCGACATTTCTCGCTGAGTGTCAAACCCGTCAGTTTTCTGATTCGGTCCTGGTTGTGAATCGGTTGCTTAGTTATCTTGTTATGGTTTGGTTCCAGCTCAACCTCATATGCGAAATGTCGGATCGGTAATAAGTTTCACTAAGCGCGAACCGGTATAAACCGTTACATAAATCTGCCTTAGACCATGACTCCCCGTGCATTCATTTCCTGCAGCTTTTGTTGAGCACACCCTATAGTTCCAGCAGCCGGAACCAAAGCCGGAGTGTAATGTTTTTACCACGCAAAAATAACATCACTAAATAAGAAGGACACATATAATATTTCGCTCAACACATGTGAACTGCACTGCTTTGGGGTAACGCACTTGCCACGCACGCTGTTACTGCGCGTGCAAGTGTTGGCAACTTTTTGGAATGCGTAGTAAAAAAAGCTCCCTCTCTATTAGGTGAACGTTTTGGGTAATATACCAAGTTATTTTTTTATAAAACTACGGGGAGTCTGTTGTAGTAAACTTAAATTTCGATTCCTGAAAGGAGTGAAGCATCGTTTTTAGCGCGATTTCGTTTTGCAAATTACTACCTGAACTCAGATTATTAAATGGCACGTCTGAGGTATCGGTTTGCACTTATTGTTTTCAGAATAGTCGCTTAACGTATTATACCATAAACACAAATCGAATGTCTTGGAACGGGGAAATGCAAACAAAACATGTCCCAACTACCAATGAAGCTGTTCCCTCTATTGTTCACTTTAAGTCATAAATAAATGTTGGCACAAAAAAAAATTAAACTCGTTATATAAATAAAATTACGCCTACATTTATATTTTTGCGGTATAAACATTTTCATTAGAATGAAACAATTAAAATGCGAATTTAAGCTGTAGCTTGAATCGTGACTTATAATACTGTTTTTTTTTTTTGTTTTTTCTTTGTTTTTTCTACCTTGATTGTACCAGACTCAGTCGCCCTGCGTTCAATCCACAGACCGAAAAAATACAAAGTGGCATTAGGCTAACACCACTAAGGAAATATTTTTTTATAATTTTTTAGCTATTTATATAAACCAAATCCTGACCACAAAACTCCAGCAAAACTGACAGCTTTATGAACACTATTGTGATTCAAAGGCAAGCGTAAATTTTATGCAGATCCATTGTCACGAATGACAATGGATGAGGCGGTAATACTAAAGAAATGAAAAGTTTAATGGGGCGAACTTGTGCCCGAAAATAAAAGGGTACAAAAGATAATAACAGAGCGTCGCGGGCGTCGAAGTCGGCGTAACCGCAGGTTCGAGCGCTGGGGCGAGACTGACTCGACAAGGTCGCGGGCGGCCTCTTATCTAGAGTGAGTCACTATCTCGGAGTTTCGGCGGAGAAGGTTCGAGCGTAGCGTGCTCGGGGCGAGAATGAACAAGCACTTTCTAGAACAACAAAAGCGGGGATAAACGATAGAAGTTATGTCTGCAGCAAGAATAAACGAGAACTTTCTACAAGTCCGTGACCCTGCGCGCCGGCATTATGCCCCGCTTTAAAAAAGTGCATCGTCCCGGTGCAGCTCAAAATGAAAAACAAACAAAAACAAATCCAAAACAAAAGGGCAGCAGAATCGCGAACCGCGGTTCACAGTTAACAGTTCACCCGTCGACGAGAGTGGAAAGTTCTATTGTTCGTAATACGGCTTCAGCCGGACGACGTGCACCACCTCGGGTCGCGGCTGACGTCTTTCAGGTGGGCGCGTTCCGTCGGGAAGGACTTCGTAGTTAAGATCGCCGAGGCGTCGGATGATCTTGTAGGGTCCGAAATAGCGTTTCAGAAGCTTCTCGCTGAGACCGCGGCGCCGTACTGGTGTCCAAACCCATACCCGGTCTCCGGGTTGAAAGTGGACGGCGCGGTGACGAAGATTGTACCGGCGAGCGTCGACACGCTGTTGATCGTGGATTCTAAGGCGGGCTAGTTGGCGTGTTTCTTCTGCTCTCTGACTGACCTCAAGGGCATCGTCGCATCCGTCATCCACAGGCTCATGGGGCAGCATTGCGTCTAGCATGGTTGTCACTTTTCTTCCATGCACCAGCTCGAATGGTGTAAACCCGGTTGCTTCTTGAGCTGCGGTGTTGTAGGCGAACGTGGTGTATGGTAATACCTCGTCCCACGTCTTGTGCTCTAAGTCGACGTACATGGAGATCATATCGGCGATCGTCTTGTTGAGCCGCTCCGATATCCCGTTGGTCTGCGGACGGTACGCGGTGGTCCGACGATGTCTGGTGTGGCTGAGCCGAAGGATCTCTTGCGTGAGCTGGGCCAAGAACGATGACCCTCGGTCGGTTATCGAGACTTCGGGGGCGCCATGTCGAAGAAGAATAGACTCGATCAAAAATTTGGCGACTTCCACCGCTGTTCCCGACGGAGGGGATTTCGTCTCCGCGTACCGGGTAAGGTAATCCGTGGCAACGACTATCCAGCGGTTCCCCGACGTCGATGGCGGAAAGGGCCCAAGCAAATCCATTCCAATTTGTTGGAAAGGCGTAGTAGGGGTCGATATCGGTTGGCAGGAATCCCGCAGGTCTCGTCGGAGGTTTCTTACGCCGTTGGCACTCGTGACGTGATCGTGTGTACAGATGAACAGTCTTTGGGAGTCTCGGCCAGTAGTACTTGTCACGAATCCGGGCAAGGTTCCTGCTGTAGCCAAGATGTCCGGCCGTAGGGTCGTCGTGGCACGCTTGAAAAATTTCTTCTCGGAGCCTGCTGAGGACAACCAGTAGCCAGGTAGTTTGGCTGGTTCCGAAATTCTTTTTGAAGAGCACGCCTTCCCGCAGGACAAAGCTCGGTAGGTCCCGAGAAAAGACCCGTGGGACAGAGTTTCCTCGACTTTCAAGGTGGTCGATCACGGAGCGAAGTTCCGTGTCGTCGCGTTGCAGTGCCCTGATGTCGGTAGCGTCTACTGCGCCTTGAAAACGGGCCCGTCATCGTCGTCGGCGCCGGAGATTGGAGGTTCGACTGGAGCCCTTGACAAACAGTCAGCGTCATTATGTTTGCGGCCAGATTTATGCACAATGGTTACGTCGAATTCTTGCAGTCGAAGGCTCCAGCGGGCGAGGCGTCTTGACGGATCCTTGAGGTTGGCGAGCCAGCAGAGGGCGTGGTGGTCGGTGACCACGCGGAACGGGATCCCGTACAAGTAGGGGCGGAACTTGGTTATCGCCCAGACGACTGCCAGACATTCCTTGTCGGTCGTTGAATAATTTTGTTCTGCCTTGGACAGCGCCCGGCTTGCGTGAGCGATTACTCTCTCTGTTCCTTCTTGTCGCTGAACGTGTACCGCACCGAGACCGGTATTGCTGGCGTCCGTGTGGATTTCTGTCTCCGCAGACTGATCAAAATGCCCGAGGATAGGGGGCGACTGGAGCCTTCGCTTAATGCCGCGCCTAGTTTTCCCGATGGGAAGCGATGGGT